ACATACGCCATACCATCCACAAAAACATCAGTAGATAAATCAATAATGGCTGTATCTAGTGGGAGGCCCTGACATTTATGTATAGTAATAGCATAAGAAAGTATAAGGGGAACCTGTTACCTATGTATATACAAATTCTTAGATAGCATAAATCTAGATGTAACCCTTTCTATGTCACAAGGTACAACCATGTGATCAAATTTGATTGATATACGTGTAGCATAAATACCCATTACTGTACCAATGGCACCATCAACTAATCCTACAGTCACATCAATATTAAGTCTTAGCATTACTCTACAGCCTACTGCTAAAGACAATACAGTTTCTAAACCAGCCGTTTTACTTAGTTGATCTTTTAGTTTCTCTAATTTTTTTTCTTGTTTTTTGTCAAATTTTGCTGTGCTGCCACTTTCATCAACAACATTAACACATGCTAATTCTATTTTTTCAGTTTTAGACTTAATTCAATGATTTTTGGCAGGTGTCTACCTTAGAAAATAAGCAAATTGGAGGATTTGTTCATTTACTTTCCAATTCTTTATATTTTTCTTGTATTGAAACCTTAAATACGCAACTCTTAAGCGTATCAATAGTTTCATCAGTCAGACAGCCATGCCTAACAGAATCAAGCATCTTAAAAAGTTTCGTCTCCTTTTTGTCGCTCATTGATAGTTAGTTCATCATATTCTACTGTTTCTTTCCATATGTTAACTGCATTTGCTGCTCCAAGTCTAGTTTTTACTAGTTTGTTGCTAATTATTCTAAATAATGGCCTACCATTAACTGGTGGCAATTGTAAGAGGTCACCTACAAATAATATATTCTTAGATCCGAACCATTTATCGGTTCCAAATATATCTTCTAAGCGCATGTGTAAGTATGCCTAATTTAGATTGGATGCCATAGATACCTCATCTACTATTATAATATTTAAATTTTTAAGTGTCATTTTTATCCTTTTCTGAGCTTCTTTATTCAAAGCCCAATATCCAGCTGTCTTTCCCTCATGCTCTATAGGTAGCTGAAATAATCTATGTATTGTCAGTCCACCTACATTAAATGCGGCTATACCTGTTGGTGCTCACATAATTTCACCACTTTTTGGATGCCATATGTCATCCACTAGGCATTTTATTGCCTGTATTAAAAATGATTTACTAGTACCACCTACACCACTAATAAACATTCTTAGCGGTTTGATATTTTCTAATCTAAGTAGTCTTGAAGACTCATTCTCTAATAAGTCTTCACGTTCTTTTTGACTTATAAGATGAGTCTTAATTTTATCAAAAATTCTTATTTAATCTACATTAAGCATTGCCTCTCTTTGCTCTAATGTTAAATTAGGTACATTTATATGCATGTCAGGAATATCAGCTACTGCTTCCATTATTTCACCCAGTAATTGAGGCTCATCATCTTCCTTGTTTTCAGGAAGTTCTTCAGTAAAACCGGCTTTATTTCTTGCATCAAATATTTTCTTCCAATTACGTTCAGTTTCTAATAATTTCCGTAGTTTGTTGAATTGATTTTCAATGCCATGTATAGATGCTTCTCCATGACGCCTAAAACTCCTTTCATTATTTCTCCTTCCATTACGAGTGTGCTCTCGTCTCTAAAAGGCACAAATTAAAATATTA